GGGGGGGGGGGTGATGATAACAGAAAGAGCTTCAGCGACTCTGAAACTGCTTCTTCGTGTTCCAGGAGTTGAAGCGCACCTCGGCGGCGTGCAGCTTGCTCTTCAGGTGGCTCGTTAGCTGTGGGTGAAAATAGAAATTAGAAAATCGAACATCATTTTCACATCCTCATCATCATCATCATCACTTACATCCCGATGAAACTCCCGCGAGAGACGCTCATGCAGCGGCTGCACCTTCGTGTACTCGAACCGATCCAGCGTCTCCTTCATCTCCACAAACTTCTTCTCCTGGGCGGCGTTGCTGAAGGGGACGCAGGACCAGAAGTGGTAGAGCAGCTCGTCGAGGGCGCGGGTCAGGTGCCGCAGCTCCGCCAGAATGTCCTTCGGCAGCTCGTCCTTGAGGTTGGCGGAGGTGAGGAGGCGCGTGGCGTCCTTCATCAGCGAGCCGCCCGGGGAGAGGTCGCTGAGGGCGGCGATGGCGTGCTGCGACTCGAGGATCGGTCGCTTGTTGGCGGCGGAGACGGTGAAGGGCCGCCAGCCGTCGACGGTCTGCTTCAGCTGGGCAAAGACGGCGCTCGCCTGGCTCGCCTGCGCCGCGTTGCCGTTGGCGTGGGCGTAGTCGCTGGAATTGAAAGGGAATAATAGAATTCGGGTTAGGACTAAGGGTTAAAATCAAGCTCCAAAGTACTACTACTTACTACGAGTCCTGCTCCTGCATCGACGGCGTCGGCCCGTACATGTACCGCGCGGCCGCCGCCGAGTTGCTGGCCACCTTCAACGCCGGCGGCCGGACGCCCTCGTCAAAGTCGTCAATGGTCGCCCCGACGGCCGGCTTCTTCCCCGCCAGGTCGTCGTACTCGGTGGCCTCGGCCAGGCGCCGCCGCTTCGCCTCCTGGCGCTCCCGCTCCAGCTGCTCATCGAGCTCCAGCTCGGCGGCAGAAGGCTCGGTGGCGGTGGTGGTGGTGGTGGTTGCTGATGTTGCTGTTGTGGAAGCTGTTTCCGCCGTCGCTGTAGCCGTTGCTGCAGCAGCCGCCGCCGCCGCCGCCGCCGCCGCCGCCGCCGCCTTCTTCGCCCGCTTCTCCCCGGCACTGGGCACGACGCCCATCAGCGAGGCGCGCTCCTCGTCGCTGCGACAGGCGTCCAGGACCATGATGGAGTGAAAGTTGAAGCGGCGAATGAGCGCCTGGTTCGCCGACAGCTCGGTGGCTTTTGAGGCGCCGGGAGCTTCGGTAGTCGCTCCATTACCGCCGAGCACATTCTCCAGCGTCGGCTCGACCTGGTCGTCAAAGACGCGCAGGTCGAAGAAGGGATCGGTGATGCCCCGCTTGATGGCCTGCCTGATGTCCGCCTCGTCCTGGCGGGCGCAGTCGTTGAAGAAGTCCTTCAGCGAGCTGATGCGGTCGCGGTGAAAGTAGTGCGACTGGAAGAAGCGCTGCCAAAATTCCGCCTCCGTCAGCTTGTGCGGCACGCACTCAAAGTGCTTTCGCTTGACGGCGGGGTAGGTCTGGAAGATCGCCTCGATGATCTCGCTGTTGATGTTGTACTGAATGCCTGATTTGGTGGGGAAAAGTAGAACATTTGGTAAATAGAACAGTAAAATAGAACCCCAAATCGAAGCCCATTACCATTCATCCCGTCCGCCTGCGGCTTCACATCGGCGAGGAAGGCGCTGCTGACGCCGACCTTCTCACTTCGATTGTCCGCCGCCGCCCTCGAGTTGAGCTTCACCCGCGTCGCGTAGTGCTCCCAGAAGTCCTCCGGCGTGATCACCCCCGTCGTCACCAGCTCCTTGTACAGCTCAAAGAGGTTGGCGTTGTCCAGCAGCAGCCGCGCCTTCTGCTCCATCTCCTGGCTGACCTTCCGCCGGAAGAGCGGCAGCGTCGTCTGCAGGCACTCCTTCACCCGGTTCCGGTCCTCCAGCTGCCGCTCCGTCCCATTTGGGTTGACGAAGTGGAAGGTGTCGCTGCGGTCCGCCAGCACCACCTGCAGCTGAATCTTCGGCTTGCCCTCGGGGCTGATCTTCTGCGTCTTGATGTCGGCGTAGTTGTGCGAGATGGTGAAGGTGTTCTTGCCGTTGGGCATCCAGGCGATGCGCTCATTCATCAGGTACAGCGTCCCGTCCGCTTTCTTCACCCGCACAAAGTCGATCGACATCTTCACGTCCTCGGAGGAGGTGGTCATCTTGGCGGCCGAGGTGGGTGGTTGTTTGATGAGAAAAACACGATAATTAGAAAATAGAATCCGTCGAGAGAAAACGTTCACAAAACGACAACTCTCCGATGATGAAAGAAAGAAAGAAAGAAAGAAAGAAAACACACATGTTTTGCCGAAAAGAAACAGATTTTTTCAGCTGAGAAACNGTACTTTTGCTGTTTCAAAAAATCTCAATCTTTCAAAAACTTCGACAACTCCACTAACTTTTTTTCAACCAAAAACCTCAGGTCTTTACTTTGTAGTATGTACAAATGATGGTGGTGGTGGTGGTAGGTAAACAAAACAGCTCCGCATTCTCCCCCCGTTTCAATCTACTAATACTTCTGAGACCGCTCGACCGCGCGAATGCCCTC